GAGCCTCAGGTTAATTGTGAGGTAGGCATCACAATCCGTGCTTCCAGGCGGATGAGCCCCGTCTGCTCCACCTGTCCTGCCCGGTCAAGCGTGGGCTTTGACCCAGGGGCCCAGTGCCTGGCATAGTGCACCTTCGTCCAGTGAAAGACTGTGGAAAGGGGCCGTCCCTGTCCCCTCTGCTTTTCTTTCAGTCTCAGAGCCCCGGATGTAGCTGCGGCTGATCTGTCACTGCCCCCTCCCCCACCGAGGCCGCAGCTGCAGGACAGAGTCCACCCTCCCATGCTGATTGCTCCTTCCTGGAGGGAGGGGGGCCACCCCAGGGTGTGGCCTGAGAAAGGCTGGAGCCTGTGGACACGTTGTCCCTGTCCCAGATGTGTGCAGTTGGTGGGCTCTGAGCTCCAGGAGGTGTGGCCCAGGGGCTCCCACCGGTGAGGAAGGATGTTCCTGCAGTCTGAGGGGAGCGGTAGAAGGGGGCGTCCTGCCACCTCATCCCAACCGAGCGCTTCCCGAGGCCCAGGCTGGAGGGGCAGGACCTTGCGGGTCCTCGTTGGGCTGTTGGGCTGCACAGCTTTGAGCTGCCCCTCGTGGGCTCTCAGAAACAGCAGGACTGAGGAGGAAGACACACAAGACCCAGGATCTCCCCCCCTCGCTCGCCCTGCCCTGTGCACTTGGGCTGATGGGTAGAGACCCCCCACCCTGCCCACCAGGTGGGTCACGTCCAGGTGTTTCATTTTTTTTAACAGTTGGCGTCTCTCTCCATCTCGCCAATCCCAGTAGGTGGGGAAGGGGTGGCAGCCTGGGCTGGACTGGGCAGGGAGAGGACTTCAGAGGTGGCCTTGGGTGACCCCGCAGATGCTTCTCCTGGGGTGGGGCTGGGAATTCCCAGCTGCCCTGGCCCCTTCCCAGCCCACCTCCGAATCCCTGCCCTGCTTCCCTGCCCACCCCTGACTCTCCCCTAAGGAGCCCGCCCTGAACCCAGCCTCCCCTTGCCCCTGCTGACTCATCCCTCTCCTTGTTTGGCTGCTCCAGTTTTCAAATACTTGGGAACTGGGATCATGCCTCTTCTTGGCGCCCTCGCTGCGCGGGATGGGCTGAAGTTCTGGCCTCATAAATCCCGGCCCTGTGGCCTCTGACTCTAATGGCTCTTTTCCCTCTTCTGCCTTTTGCCTGCTGTGACCCTTGGGCCAGAGGAACAGAGCCCTAGAGCTGCCTGAGGACACACCAGTCTCTTCTCTGCCTTGAAGGCCTTCAGGGTCTCCTCCCCAATGACCTCCGTCCTATGATCCTCAGCTGGTGTCCAGCGAAGGCTCACACCCTCTCTTGAAACTGCTGTGCTCCCTTGGGTGGCGCCTCCCACTGGGCGTTACTTCATACAACCCAGTCTTCGAGGTTGGAATATCATCTCTACTTTTCGTGGCGGGTGGGAGGAAGAATGACTGGTCTGTCATTCATTGAGTACTGCCACAGCTGGGCGTAGAGGCCAGGTTGTTTGACTGCAGGACTCCCAAGCCGCTATTCTGGAGAGAGGACAGTCTAGGAGGAGGAGGCCAGCCCTGGAGAAGGGCGGCCTGAGCCAGGCTGAGCAAAGGGTATGGCAAGCCGCATGTCTGCCGCGTGGGCTTCCCAGCTCCTGCTTCTCAGACGTGGGTGCCTTTGCCCTGCCTTCACTTCAGTCGCAGCTCAAGGATAGCAGTGAGATAGATTTGGCTTCGCCCAGGCTTGAGACCCTGGGGTTGGGAAAGCAGGTCTTTCCTAGTTAGTCACGGGTTCCCTGTGGGCCTGCAGGAGAGGCCTGCTCTGACCCAGCCCTGTGCCCCCCTCGGTACAGGGGCTTGGGTGAAAGACAGATGCACAGCCCAGCTGAAAGGTAGTGTGAACAGCCCCATTTGTGGAAGAGTTGAGAGTTTACCCTTCCATCCATCCATTCATTTTTCAGTCGTTCTGCTGACATGGTCCGTGGACCTACTGTGTGTCAGCTACTGTGCTAATTGTCTTTTCTGCATTATCAGCTCTCCTCTGTAGTTGGGATTATACTTCCATTTCCCAGATGCGAAATAGCTCAGAGAACAGTGACTTGCCCAAGGTCACACATCCAGGTGCAGAGGACAGTGGGAGCTGAACCCAGTATTACCAGTTTCCTGACAGAAGTTCAAGGCACAGTTCCTAACTCTCCAGAAGCTGTGGATCTTGCGGGAGAGTCAGGACTCCAGGGCCATAAGTACTAGCACAACTCAAAGTCCAGGCAACAGCAGATTGTCAGGGAAGGAAAAGATCAATTTCGCATGAGTTATCTGGAAGGACTTTCTGGAGGAAATGGCCTTAAAGAGCAGGGAGGAGCCCAGGCTCCATGGCACAGTCAGCATACTGAAATGCAGTGCTGGAAGCCACATGGTTGGCTGTGGGTTTGGATCCCTGGCCCGGCTGACCTGAAGCATGCTGGCTTTGTGTACATGCATTCACACCCAAGATCCTGACAAGCTGGAGGGCTGAAGGAAGGTGGTTGAGGAGACCCTGTGGAGGGTACTTCCCTTTGCCTGTCTGTCATCCCTCTCCTGTGCCAGCAGGTGGCATGGTAGTTAAGGCAACTGGACTTCCACATGGCTGACTGTGGTTCAAGTCTTGGACCTGGCAGCTTGCTTTTTCACTTTCCTTCTCTCTCTGTCTTTCTCTGGTCAACTTCAAAAAAACAAAACAAAATAAATAATGACAGTGAATAAAGTTAAATAAAATAATTCTTAAAAAAATTAAAAAGGCCAGCCGGTGATATGATAGTTAGGGTGACTGGATCCCACGTGGCCAAGTGCGTGGTTCTAGTCCCAGACCTGGTGACTTGAGAAACACGTTGGAGTGTGTGTGTGCGTGCGTGTGCCCCAAATCCTGAAGAGTGGGAAGTGGAGACGGTGTTGTAGCATGGCCGTTCCCCTGGGTGGCTGCTTTCTCACTTTCCCAGCCTCTCTGTCTCTCTGGAGGGGGAGATGGGGAGAAACACACCCTCTGGCAATTTTTAATTTTTTTTTAAACAAGGAGGATTTAGGTAGTGGAGGCAGGTGTTGGCCAGAGGTCCAGGAGTCATCCCCATTGTCGCTGCATTTGCATTGTCTGGTGAACAAGAGCAGGAAGGGCCCTTGCCTGCTGCTGGAATCCTTAAAGCTGGATAAAGAATGCAAGGAAGTCCCCGAGATAGCTGAGGTGACATCCTCCCAGCACCGGCCCCACCTGGCCTGACAGGAAGAGGTCAGGCCTGAGCTAGCCAGTCACTAGCCGTCTTCCCTGGGCCTTGGTGTCGCTCCTGCTCCTGAGATGGACTACTTTCTTGCTTTTTGGCCTCCCTTCACATCAGAGGAGAGGAACTTGGAGTCCTCGGAGAGAATGGCTCTCCCACCCCCCCCAGAGTTGGTGGTGTTCCCTGGGGTCAGGGGTGGTAGCCTCCCCAAGGAGCTCACATCTCACCAATCCCACATCTCCCTTCACCGTCCACCGGCCCACAAGTGCCCAGCCCTGAGTCGGTAAGCAGATGAACCCTCAGACCTCCAGCCTGTCCAGCCCTGGGAGCTCCGTGCCCCTCCTGCACCTGCTGCAGAACTCACATGCAGGGGCCGCAGCAAGCCAGCACTAGTCTGGAGTCACAGGGTTCCTGTACTCTGGGACCCAGGGCTTTCAACCTCTCTGAGCTTCGGTTCCCCAGATGCAAAATGGGACCATTCATTCACAAGCATTTATGGATGAATGCAGACATTTACGGGAATAAATACCAGGAGCTTGCAGGCTGGCAGGGAGGCCCGCCCGCACTAGTCAATGCAGGAGGAGGGAAGGAGGCGGCACTCAAGGAAGCCTCTAGAGCTTTAGAGCAGGTCGTCTGGGTCCTGACCATCCCCCCCACACACACCCCAGGAGACCTCTGGAGTCTCTGTTTCAGCTCCCACTTGGTACTCTTCCTGTGCAGTCTGTCCCTGCAGGCGGCTTGTGGCAGAGGGGGCCTGGGCCACGGGGAAGAGGATTCATAGGAGCTGAGAGTGGGGAGAGGAGCGGCCCACTTCTCTGAGTCTCAGGAGCCCCTGGTGTGAAAGCCAGGGCTATTTATACTGGGTCTGGTTATTTCCGTTTAGCAGAAATGGCAGCTGCCCCTGGAGCTCAGGGTGGAGCTCTGAGGCATCTGTTGGCGTTCACTGGAGGGGAGCAGGCCTGAGCTTCCAGGTCCCCTTCCCCTTTCTCTCTCCCCCTGTTCCTGGGCTGGGGGTGGGGGGAGGCCTGATCAGCTCAGGTGGGAATGGAAGGAAAGGGTTAAACCTGGTCTCCCACCTCCTAGGTGGGGATGAAGGAGAGGGGAAGGGGGTGAAGGGAAGGCTGGGGGCTGGGCAGGAATTCGAGATAAGATCAAAGCTTCAGCCTGCCTGGGCCTCACCTGGGTTTCACCTGAGCAGCTGAAGGGTATTCTCTGAGCGCTGGAGGAGGGGAAGGTGGCTTCCCAGGGGAGGGGGTTATAGGTCCCGCCTTCTTCTTCTCCCCTCGAGCACTGTCAAAGGCTCCGCCTCACACTTCAGGTGCCCCCACCTGACCCACCTCAGTCTCCCAGGAGGCCCACCTCTTGCCCTGATGGGCACCTCGGGTTGGGAGGGTACCTTTCCAGAGCTCCAGCCCCCTTTCCAGCTGTCTGGCTGCTGGGGTTTCCAAATCCAGGACTCTGGAGGGAGCTGGAGGACTTCTGACGGCCAGATCGAGCCTGGAGGCCCCCTGATGTGGCCGTGAGCCCCCCATCCCTCAGTTCATAGGTTCATAGGCTGTTTCTGGACGGCGTCATGGGCCGCAGGCACAGCCCCGAGTGTCCTAGCTCTGTCCCTTCCCACTGTGGGAGCCTGGCTGCTGAGTGAACCTCTCTGCGCCTCACCTGGCCAGTGGGAATAAGCGGTCATGCAAATTGCCTCCAGTCAGCAAGCAGTTGACCAATCACCAGAGCCCTTACTTGGTGGTCCTCTTCCCCCTTCGGGACTGCCCCGGGTAATATGGTAAGGAGTGAGTGAAGAAGGCCCGAGCCCTTCAGTGCTCTCCAGGCACCTCCTGGGCCCCCTGCCCCATGTAGCTCCAGCCTTCCATGACGGCTCCCACCTCCAGGCCCCACTGTACTGCTGGACAAGTGGCCTGGGATGTACCAGCTGGGAGGAGCTGCGTCTGGGGTGCTGCAGCCAGGCCTCCTGCCTGGGCTCTCCACCCTGGCTCTGCCCGGGTTAATGATTACTCTGGGCAGTGGGAAGGTGGAGAGAGGGAGGCCCGCCCAGCTGCCCAGCTCTTTAACCACTGGTTGCACCCAAGGTATGTCAACCACCTGGGTGTTCCCTGTTTTAACGTGTCAGGTCTGCTCTGGGGCGCGTGGGTGCTTGGAGCCCCACATTGACGGGCACCTTGTGCTCTGTGGTCCTGGGCACACTTGGGGCCCACAGGATCTAGGTGAAATGCCAACTACTGGATAATAGCAGTTCCCTGTGGTGTGGGGTCCGTGTATGAGCAGACCCCACAATAAGAAAAGAGGGTAGCAAGCTGCTTCCAGCCCAGAGGAGCCCTGGCACCCCTCCTCTCCCAGGCTCAGAACCTGTGGCGGAGTTCCAGGGGAAGGTAATATAATCTTCGGGGCTTTGGGACAGCTGGGCATGACTTCCAACCCCAGCTTTGCCAGTTCTGGGCTGTGGGACCTTGGGCAGGTCGCTTCACCTTTCTGAGCACCTGCTTTTTATCTGAAAGAGGGACTGAGATCCCTTCTCTGCCTGTGAGCCAGGCAAGGTATGGGAAGTATTTAGCTCTTAATTAATACCTGGGGACTGGTAGCAATGATTGGGTTTGTGTTCCAGTTAGGAGAGAGAAAGTTGAATTGTAGGCAGCAGTAGCCTGTGGGGATAACGGGAGGGTTTGAGCCGCATGGAAGGGAGAGCCCGCCCCGGGGACATGTGTGAAGACCTGTGTAGGAGAGGGATGGGGGGTGGTCAAGAACAAGGACTTGGAGGAGTCTCGGTCACCCTAGGCCTAGTCAGCTCTGCTAGCCTGGGTTGCTCCCTGGGCTTGGCCCTGAGGCTGGTGCAGGCCGAGAGTGGGGGAGGTGGGAGGACTGTTTATTTCAATAACATTAGGGCATTTTCCCCTGTTGGCAGCTGCTATTTTGAGAGCCCTGAAGAGCAGGGGCTATGGTTAAATTAGGTAATGTTGCTGCAGAGGAATGTGTGAAGCGGTCGGTCGGTGCGCTGGGGCTGCAGGGAGAGGACACTCCATATAAAATGAAACTGCAGCTTGGAGAGGAGCAACTCGGCCGCTTTATAAGGTGATGAGGGGGAGGCTGCTGGGCGCCGTTGCTGGGGGAGTGGAGAGGATGGCCACAGCCTCTTTCTGGGGAGCCTGGGCCCGTGCCCAGAGCCTGGCGGGCCCAGCAAGGAGCCAGTGACAGGGCTGGTGAGTGCTCACCAGGCGGTGGGGCTGGGGTGGTGTGATGCATGGGAAGGACAGGTTGGCAGACTTGGCCAGAGTCTGCTCTGCCTCTTTCTAGGGTGCTTTCGGGGAGCCACGTGACCTCACTAGCCCTCAGTATGAACAGCAGTCAAAGAACCGCAGTTCTAGGAGGGTTTCTTACAGATTCGATTGCAAGAAGAAAAAACATAGCGCCTGTGGGCCTACTGTGCGCAGGGCACCATTCCAATCACTTATGTCCTTAGAGCTGCAAGGGTGGTCCATGTCCCAGCATTCGAGTCTCTCCTGGGAGCTCATCAGAAACGCATCTCGGCCCCGCCCAGACCTAGTGAACTAACGAGAATCTGGGAGCTAACGAGACCCCGGGTGATTTGTACGTTCAGGCTGGAGAAGGCGCTGACCCGCATGGTCCCCCTTCATCCTGAACACTGTGTGATGTGGGGACAGTGATGAACAGATGCTCCATCTGCACTCATTCTTTCCCCGTATCCTCCTCTCTTGGACTGGGCTTCAGAGGGTAGTGGGATATCAAAGCCCCTGGCAGGCCTGGAAAGAAAGTCCAGCCTGTTACCACCCCTGAAGCGTAACCACACGCTCCTCATGCGCCATGGGCTCAGCACAGCCGACAGGCCATCTCCCTAAGGTCATTCTGTACCCCCTGTCCTTGGGGAAAGATGGGCCCAGGGCAGGGGTTCCCCACTGATGAGGTGTGTGGTGCAGGTAGTGGCCGTGTGTGTCAGCCCGACTGGGGAGGAGGAGGCAGCAGGGAGGCCCGTGGGAACGGCTGCCCTGCCTCAGTTAACTTCCCTCACCGGAACATCCAGGACCCGGCCAGTGTAGTAACAGAGCCTTGGAGAACACCTCCTATGTGACCGGCTCTGGGGAAGTATCCTGAATTCCCCCATTGTGTAGACCCTTAAGATACATTGTAAAAGAGAAAACCCTGTCGCTGTCATACTCAGCACTTCCCATCGGCACATGCTGTGTTAAGCACTCAACTGGCATTCTTTCTTTTAGCTATTTATTTTAAAAAATTTATTCATTTAATTTTTTTCTTTTAAAGAATTATCCATTTAATTTTATTCACCATTATCATTTCTTTTTGGGGGGGGCAGTTTGCTACAGGGCGTGTGGACTCACCAGACAGACAGAGACGGAGAGACAGAAAGCGAGAAATCACCCCTCAGGGGGATGGCCACACCACAATCCCTTCTCCTCCATTCTCCTCTCGGGATCTTGGGCACACACGCACATGCGCCCAGCGTGAGTTTAAGCCACCGGGTCCAGGACTCGAACTGTGGTTGGCTACATGGGAGTCAAGCAATATAGCCATTTCGCTAACTGCTGGTCCTGAACCATTATCATTTCTTTAGTTTGACCAGAGAGGGAGAGGAAAAGTGAGAAAGCAAGCTGCCAGGTCTGGGACCCAAATTGCAGTTGACCATGTGGGCATCCAGCAACCCAATCACCATGCCACCTGTCAGCCCCTGTTTATTTAATTTTTGAAATTATTATTCTTTGTTTTGTTTTTTTGGTTTTTTTAGAGGTTTTTGCTATAGGGTGCGTGCACTCACCAGAAAGACAGAGAGAGACAGAGAGACAGAAAGCAAGAAATCACCTCCCCAGGGAGGATGGCCACACCGCAATCCCTTCTCCTCCATTCTCCTCTCGGGATCTTGGGCACGCACGCACTTGCGCCCGGTGTGAGTTTAAGCCAGTGGGTCCAGTATGCGAACCACGGTCGACTACGTGGGAGTCCAGCGACATAGCCATTACGCTAACTGCTGGTCCCTGAAGTTATTATTCTTTCAAATTTTTTTTGCTATTGGGCGCATGTACTCACCAGAGAGAGGCACAGAGAGACCGACAGACAGAGAGGGAAAGTAGGAAGCAAGCCGCTTCTGCAGGGTCTGGAACTTGAACTGCAGTTGGCCAGATGGGAGTCCAGCACCCTAATCACCACACCATCTGCTGGCCCTAAGTATTTCATTTCAACCTAAATCTTCTCTATAAAATAGTGGTAATAACCACACCTATTCCATGGGTTGTTACAATGATGACTTAATGTTTGTGAAGTGTCTGGCATGTAATATTAGTTAAATATAAAAGTACAGATCATCACTCAACAAGGCAGGTACTTATTTTCCTCACTTTACAGATGTACAAATTGAGGTCCAGAGACCAGCAGATGGTGTGATGGTTATGTCACTGGACACCCACATGGCTGACTGTGGTTCAAATCCCAGACCTGGCAGCTTGAAACTCATGCTGGGCATGTGTGTGTGCATGCCCAAGATCTCAGGAGTTGAATGGAGGAGAAGGGATTGTGGGATGGCCAGCCCCTTGGGAGATGATTTCTCAATTTCTGTCTCTCCCTTTCTCTGTCTCTCTGGTAAGCACATAGCAAAAATCCCCATTTCCCCACCCCACACACACAAAAAAAAGAAAATTTGAGGTCCAGAGCAGGGAAGGGACTCATGAGGATCATGGGAAATTGGGGCAGGGCCATAAGAAACTGAATTTCCAAATTTGTAAAGTGATATTATAATTAAATTCAGTTTAGTCAATATTTGCTTCTTATTATATGTTGGGCATTAGAAGGTATCTAAAGCTTAAAAAAATAATAAGAGACCAGGACCAGCTGGTGATATGGTGATTAAGGAGGTTGGATCCCACATGGCTGACTGTGCAGTCAGAGTCCCGGACCTGGAGGCTTAAAAAAACATGCTGGGGGGACCAGCAGCTGGCGTAATGGCTATGTCGCTGGACTCCCATGTACTCAACCATGGTTCAAGTCCTGGCCCCGGTGGCTTAAACTCACAGTGGGTGCGTGTGCGTACATGCCTAAGATCCCAAGAGGAGAATGGAGGAGGTGGGATTGTGGCATGGCCATCCCCCCTGGGGAGTGATTTCTCACTTTCTGTCTCTCTGTTTCTCTCTGCCTTTCTGGCAAGTGCATGCGCCCAAAAACCTCAAAAAAAAAAAAAAAAAAAAAAAAGAAAGAAAGAAAAAAGAAAAGAAAAGAAAAAGAAAGAAAGAAAGAAATATTGGTTTTCTTGACCAAAAATGAAGATTTTCTGCTGAGACTTCCTCTTCCAGACTCATTTCTAGTGGACAGAGATAGCTCTGTGTCTCTTTCTCTCTGTCTCTCTCTGTCTCACTAAATTTTAAAAAAATAATAAAATGCTGGGTGCATGTGTGCCCAAAATCCTGAGAGGAGAATGGAGAAGGAATTGTAACATGGTGGTCCCCCTTAGGGGGTGCTTGCTTGCTTTCTCTCCCTCTCTGTCTCTGTCACTCTCAGGCAAACACATTTACCATATAGCAAAAAAAGAAGGAAAACACCAAAACCCGCCTGGTGTATGTCCCCCAAGGAGCAGGAGAGTAGAAGCAGCGACTCGCGTGACTGACTAAGGCTGTACCTGCAGGCCCGTAGGTTAGAAATGAAGGCCTCCAGATGGGCAAGGACGAGAGGTGTCTGTGTGGAGTCCAGGGAGACTGCAGAGTGGAGGTGGGGATTGTGCTTAACCTTGAAGGGTGGATGAGTAGATTAGATCGGGAGGCATGGGAACAGCATTCCAGAAGAGGGA